AGAAGAGATGAGGAAATGGAAAGGTGGAAATTGAAACAGGAAAGAAAAATCTGTGGTAGATACAGAAGACAGACCTTCTAAGAAGGAGGCTTTACAGGGTAAGAGTCATCTGTAAACCAACAATGTCTCTAAGCAGGTAGACTAACATTAAAAAGTTAATTGTGTGTCACTTTAGTGATGGGTTTTGAGTGACGAAAATCCCTAATGTGCCTTAAATGTGATTTTCGAAAGGTCTGTGAGATCAAGTGCAGCACCTATGCCATCTCTAGATCTTCAGCACCTAGCAGCGGGTCTGAAATGTAGTAGGTGCCCAATAAGTGTTGTGTGGATGGATGGATAAGAGGGATAAATTTGTATCAATTGTTACTATTAAGAAATCTGATGATTTTTCATTTTCAGTCAAAAGGAGGTAGTGTTGCAGAAATTAGAGAGTTTGGGAATCAGGGTGAATTATTTTTAGCTGTGTGACCTTGCACAAGTTACTCATCCTGAGAAGCTTCAGCATCCTCATCTGAGAAATAGGGAAAAATGCTAAGCTCAGGGCAGAGCAAAGTGACTCCTGCTCAAAGGGGTAATTGCTATTGTTCAATGAGAAATAGAGTGAGTTAATTATGAAAGGGCCATGTTTTAGATAGTTTGAACTTTAAAAGTTAAAATCTGTTTACATTTGGTGTGTTGAAAGTAGGAAGCTCTGAAAAGTTTTGTGAGCTTGAGAAAGATATAATGTTACAATGACTGAACGAAGGACCAATTAGAAACGGAAAGCCTATGATCAGGAGGGAAAAACAACAAATTGTCCTCACCTATACCATTGACTGACTGTCTAACATTGGGCAAATTTCTTAACTTCTTTAGGCCTCAGTGAGACTTGTTTCTAAGACTTTATATTCTTAGAGCAGTTTTAGGTTTCTAGCCAAATTGAGGGGAAGGTACAGAGATTTCCCATATACCCTCTGCCCCCACACATGCGCAGCCTCCCCTATTATCAACATCCCCCATCAAAGTGGTACATCCACTACAATTGATGAACCTGCATTGACACATCATTACCACCTAAAGTCCACAGTTTACATTACTCTTGGTAATTATTGCACTCTTGGTGTCATACATTCTGTGGGTTTAGACAAATATATAATGACATGTATCCAACATTACTCCACAGAGTAGTTTCACTGCCCTAAAACTCCTCTATGCTCCACCTGTTCATCCCTCTCCCCCAACCTAACCCCTGTCATTCACTGATCTCTACAGCTTTGCCTTTGTCATGTACTTGGAGTTATACAGTATGTAGCCTTTCCAGAATGGCTTCTTTCACTTAGTAGTATGTATTTAAGTTTCCTCCATGTCTTTTTCTGTCTTGATAGCTGATTTCTTTTTAGCATTGAATAATATTCTACTGTCTGGTTGTACCAGAGTTTATCCATTCACCTACTGAAAGGCATCTTGGTTCCTTTCAAGTTTTGGCAGTTATGAATAAAGCCATTATAAACATCCATGTGCATGTTTTTGTGTAGACATATTATTTCAACTCCTTTGGGTAAATGCCGAGGAGTGGGTTTGCCAGATTACATAAGAGTGTATGGTTTTATTTAGTGATATTCTAGTATTTTATTACAGAGTTTTATTATGATTAAATGAGATAATCATATAAATTGCCTGGCAGAGTACCTGGCATATTCTAAGGGCTGAATCAATGTTAATTATATCTGGTGTTATTATCATCTCATAAAAGATATATAGTAGATACAGAAGAGAGAAATGTCAGAGGAAAAGTGTAAGAACATTTGATGATTAGCTCTCAATGAGATGCTCTGTATCTGAGTCTGCCTCTACTGCAGTCCCAGATACACAGAATGTGCTTGTCTAATTCATGCTGCTCTGCATGAAAGGTATACTTTGCCTTGGGCCTCTTAGTTCCCCCATACCCCCTTTGGACTAATGAAGAAGGATAATACAGGTAATTGTAAGTAATGGTTATCTAATTCTTCAGGTAAGGGGAAAAAATACAGCTAAATGCACTCCAAATCTGAATCATATAAACCTGACGAACAGCTAGGGTCAAATGGAATAGAGGAAAAGCACTACTAGACAAGTGTTCTGGAAAACTGTGTTCACTGTCTAACTCACTTTGTGTGGATTGTGAACTTAATGAACTTGGACTTGAGTCTTAGTATTTCAGTTTCCTCAGCCGTCAAATCAGAATGAAACCACCCCCCCCCAGTTATTTAGAGAGCAAGATGAGATAAGGAACATCAAAGTACTGCTTGAAATTTTCTAGGAAGTTAAGAAATTTAAAATTAATCTTAATACATGGAGACACCAAATAGCTTGCTCAGATTCAGTTCCATGATAATAAATAAAAAATCCAAAGTCACCTAGCAACAGTAACATCATGACCAATTTCTGTCCTCGGTTTTGAATATATGATTGCTTCTATGCACTTATAGATTTGTATTTTTTCTGTTTTCTAAGCATAAAAAGCATATTTCTCCATTGTAGAGAGTTTTGATTATTAAAAATACATAGGAGGAGGCAAAATCAAACCAAACCAAACCAAAGCTCACTTATTATTTTACCACCTGGAAATACCTCATGTTAAAATTCAGAAACATTTCTTTCTGATATTTTATCTTTCTATAGACAGTAAGCTAAATCTCTAGAAAGGTAGACCTAGATATAAGTTTTTTAAAAGTGGTCTGATGTTAAATATAGATTTGATTTATATTTTGTCTAATAATCTTCATAAGGATAAGATTACATCTAAATGCCTATATGTTAACAATATATAATGTAGCATTGTCACTTCTTCATCAAAATTATGCTGTTTTTATAAAGTTCTGTTTTTTTATGGAAATGTTTATTGTTTTCTATTTGTTGCTTATTTCCATTCTCCACTAAAATAATATGCTCAACATTTTTTTTAATTTAAGATTTTTATTTATTTATTCATGAGAGACAGAGAAAGAGAGAGAGAGGCAGAGGGAGAAGCAGGCTCCCAAGGAGCAGGGAGCCCAATGTGGGACTCCATCCCCAGGACCCTGGGATCATGACCTGAGCTGAAGGCAGACTCTTAACCATCTGAGCCACCCAGGCACCCACTCAACAACATTTAAGCAGGCAGCAATCAGGGGAGAAAACATTTATCTGTAATGCCAGCCTAAATGTAACAATGAACGCTTTCATCTTGATTCTAAGCTCTAAGTCTACTCTGAGGTCTTTGAAGTACCCACTTGGGCTAAAGCCACTCAGAAAGAAACTGAGCAAAATAAGTGGTTTAAAGCAAACAAAAATATGAACCCTAAACTTTTCGAAGCTTTGCATAATCATATTCATTTACTTTTTTTGTTGTTGTTGTTTTGTTTTTGTTTTTATTATGTTATGTTAATCACCATACATTACATCATTAGTTTTTGATGTACTATTCCATGATTCATTGTTTGTGTATAACACCCAGTGCTCCATGCAGAACGTGCCCTCCTTAATACCCATCACCAGGCTAACCCATCCCCCCACCCTCCTCCCTTCT